GGGCTGCAAAGCGATGGCCTTAGCTCCCTTCCGGACAGGAGCTCCGGCCAAATAGTAAATAAACCAGGGGCTGAGTAATGTGTAGCCCCGCTCCTGAGCCACCTGTTAGCGGCTGAGCAGATGCAACGCCAGAAACTCTCCCCCTCCTGCAACGTGTTCTGGCTGCAGAGAGCCTGCCCGTGGCCAGGTTTCGTGGAGATTCTGGCTTCTCAGCTCCTCCTACCCATCTACAGAGCTGTTGAGTAGCTGCTTTCAGGTTATGTTTTATGCCTCTGGCGAAGCCGGCTCCCAGTGCCACACCTCGCACAGTGATGGGCTGCTCGGGTCCCAGCTGAAGTTCACATGGCCTGAAAAGCACTTGGGTCTTTGCAGGGGATAACTGTGCGCTGAAGTTGCTCATCCTCTGCAGTGGGTGGGTTGGGTACAGGACTGTTAGAGGACTCCTTGAGTTCAGTGGAGTGCAGTTGAGCAGCTGAACTGGGGCTGGGTTTTGCCATTTCTGCCCATTTTATCCTTCCCCTGGTGGCTTCGTCCAGCTGCTCCACTCCTAATACAGCAGCGGCTTAATTCCAGTCCCACTCAAGCAGGGCTGGACCTTGAGAAATGCTAAACCTGGGAGCTCCAGCTGATTTCAGCTGCTAAGCATCCCTCGAGGTTTAGCCCTTGCTTGCTTTTACTTGTCTGCCACCAAACCAGGCTGGCAGGAACAGATAGCAGAGGGTCTAGAAGCAATGGATGCTGCACATGAAGACAACCCCTGCAGAGCTCACAGCAGTGAAATGCAGAGCTTGCAGTGGAACAACCTGAATTTTTGAGCAACAGAAATATAAGTGGTGGGTGTGAGTCTCCCCACAGTGTGCAGCTGGGCTCTGACTGCCTGAGAGGACAGGAGAAGATAGTGTATTGCATCTTCTGCACCCAGTGTTTTAAAGGAGCACCCAAGGGTCTGCCTCCTGCTGCAAATAAGGGAATATATTTTGAGGGGAAAATCCTGATAGTGCCTAGCTTGAGCTGGGGAAGAAACAACAACCCTCTGGGTAAATCTGTGCCATGGCATCTCTCAGAACACTGCCAAGCTGCACATACATATGACCAAGGGGCTGAAATGCTGGTACCCTGCTGTGGTTTGGCTGGTACAGCCCTAGGGGTGCAAAATGCTGCCCGGTAGGACCACAATAGCTCCCTCCTTAGTTATCATTGACTTTGCAGCCTGCTTGGCTTCCATTTTACCATCTTTGTCCCCAAAAGCAATACCTCTGCATCACCTCTCAGGGTATTTCTTGTTGGGAAGGAAGCCTTTAAAGATCTCCTTTTGGAGGAACAGTGCAAAACCATTTCTAAGTAAAGTATTTGGGAGAAACCTTCAGCCAGCTCTCATGCAGCAGCGCGGAGAAAAAAAGCCACCTGCTGTGTTACTATGCCTTTTGTTCTCAGCAACAAAAAATGCAGGGAGAAGCTGCTAGCTCAGGAGGCCAAATAGCCATCTCGCTTCTCTCTAAATACCTACAGTTTTGGGGCCAAAACCAGTGATGGTTTGCTTGTGCTGGTGAGATTGTAGAGCGCTGACTAGGAGATGCCCATGGAGCAGAAATATTGAACCAGAAGAAACCATATTTATATGGTGACTTCTTGCCCTAACCACACTTTAATTACCAAATATTTATTAAAGGTCACAAGCATTGTTTGTGTTCCCAGTTATTTTCTTGCATAAGCTGTAATAGCTCAAGTAGGAGATAGTCACCATAAGATGCTTTCAAGCATTGCAAGCTATAATCAATGCCATGCTGTTGTTAGGAAAATGCTGTTGATGATTTATTTCTAATCAATTTGAGCCTTAAAGCTCAGCTGTTAACCTAATTTAGGGAACAAGAGCTTAATTCTTCCTCTATCAATACTCGTGTAAACCAGTGGGAAAAGATGAAATGGGAACAGAACCAGACATGAAATTGAGCTTGATGTTTGCAGGAGATGAGGTGTTGGGGGAGGCATAGTATTTGGATTTGCTCAGCACAGGATGGTGCTGAGCAAAAATACCTGTGAGCAGCTGGAAGGTCATAGAAGACTTGGCAGGATGAGACCTGCAGTGATTAAGGAGAACCAGCTTATACAGGCGTGGCTGTGAGCCCCCAGGCTGGACACACAAGTTATCCTTTGTATTTTCGCTGCAGAGGACCCAAAACGCCAGGGAAAAAAAGGTCAGTGAGCATCGTGAACAGAATTAAGTGGGGGTTTTGAGTACAGGAAACGGAGACAGAGTAGAGGCTAATGCCTCTGACATACCTGAGAAAGGGCATTTGAGCTGAGCACCTGCAGCGCAGGTTGCACTTGCAGGGATGCTCTGCAAGGCTCAGGGGATGTTTGCCGAGACACCTAAAGTGGTTACAAAAACCAGCCGCAGCATCCTCAGCCAGTTGGCAGCAGAATTGGATTCCTGTGGTGGGATTTCTCCAGTCTCTTTGGTGCAGATGAGGCACATTTCCAAGCTTTCCTCTGCAAACATGATGGCTACAATCCCCTTTTCCTTCTCTCTTGCTAGTGAGGAATCTGCCATGCCCGACTCAAGAGCTGGTAATGACTGAGGAGCAGGGCAAAATCAGATCAGCCTGATTAAGCTGGGATTCCTTGCCTGGCTTCAGCGTTTTGGTTTGTTGTTTGGGTGGGTTGTTTTTTGGTTTTGTTTATGGGGTTTTAGGAGTGCTCCTGCAATCCCTTCTCTCTAAGAGCAGCCTTGTACAGGAGCGCACGGCACGGGGCACTGCTGGGGTCCCACTGCCGGCTCCCCCACACCCAGACCATCAAAATTAACCTGAGGAAAAGCCAAAGACACCCTGAAGCCTTAGGTCCCCTCATGTCCCGCTCCTAGGCTCACTTTAGGATATTTTGCAGCTTGAGCGAGTGAGTTCGCTTAATCCCTTGACAAAAGGAGCCCGAGCCCATCCCAAAGGCACCCGGGGCGGGATTAAAGGGAATCTTTGCAAAGCAAAAAGGGACCTGCGCTGATGCCGCCCTCCGGCATCGCTGGTGCTTTTCCTCAGGGATTTGTCCCCTGGGTGTGACCCTGAGCCCGCATCCGCTTCAGTGCAAGGGGTCGGAGGGGCGAGCAGCCTCCCTAAATATTCCCTGGCCGATGCGCTCGCTTCCTCACGTCAGCCCGTAATGTTAACCAGCTGCCGCGGCCCGGCCCCGCCGCTGGCGCCGTGACCGCCGATTATCCAGGGCTTCGGTATGAAAGGCACAGCGTGCAGGGAGCCAGCTCCCGCTGGGGCAGCCCGGCAGCAAACTGCAGCGCTTCTGCCCCGGGATGCTCTCGGGATGGGCTTCAGCTTCGTCTTCACCCGGCTCTGCCAAGAGGTACCGGTCCCGCGTGTGCCACAGTTTCTCCTGCCCTGAAAAAAAAGGGTTTCTTTTGCAGGTCAGCCCCAAATATTCAGAAAAGAGGGAAAGAAAAGGGGCGGATCTTGTTGTAAATGGAGATGGGGCTCCTCCTGGGAAAGCAGGAGCGCAACCAGGCACGTTGATAGCCTGGAAAGGTGTCTCACCTTCAGCTTGCCCCCTGTTTCCCTTGGCTGCCGCACACATTTTTTCGAGGAAATTCTTGGTTTCAAACCCCAGGATGAGGCTGGCAGAGTGGGCACCACGGACATCACTTCAGGGGAGAGAGACAGGCTGTGATATGTTCTTACCAGTTATTTTTTAAAAGCTGGGAAGCCCTCACATCTGACCCCTTGTTTTCTTCCTTCCATCTGTCCACACTCCAGAAATCTCAGAGTTTGTTTTTTTTTCCCCCTTAAAGAAATTCTGGTTTCTAGGGAGTAAGGAGGGGGGGGAAAAAACCAACCCAAACAATCCTATGAGCAAACAAACAAACCTACAGCCCCAGGTCGGGTTGAGCATTAATCTCAAGGAGCTGGGGAACGTGTGTCAGAAGGAGGCGAGTTGCACTGGGTTGTTGCACAGCTGCTCCCTGCCATCTTTCTGCACTGGGTGGGTCCGCTGATATTAGATCATTATGTGCATACCACAGTAATAGTTAATGTCTGTGTAAGCCCTGTTTCTCCCCCTAAAATAATAATAATTAAAAAACTAAAACAAAACTACGCCACAGTTCGGGTATCTCTGCAGAATTCAGCTTCCAAGTGGTTCCCACGAAGGAGAATGTTGAAAGATTTTGCAAGAGCCTGCATCAGAACGCAAAATCCTTCAACATTATCAGGTTAAAAACAACCACTTCAGTTCCCCATGCTCTGATTTATATTTCTTTTTTTCTGTTTCCCTGCTGTTGGCTGCTGGCAGTCTCACACTGGGCGATGCTGGTGGTACCTGTGTGCCTGGATTAGAGCTCTCCCTGAAGCAGGAAGGATGTCAGAGCTGCTGTAATGCAGGGGTGTTGGGCAAAAGGCACACCTATCACACACACACCATTTTGGGGAGGGAAATGACCCAGCCAGAGAAGAAAACTTAGGAGGTTTGTGGGGGGGCCACTAATGGGCTGTAATGCTCCTGCTTGGCCATAAAGGCAGCGCATGGGGCAGAGGAGGGATGCTCCTGTGATCCTTTTGGGCTTGGGCTGGTGTACTCTCCTCTCAGAGCAGGTAAGGGGCTGATTTTCCATCTGTAAGTTCCCAGCAGAAGAGAAATTCTGCCAAGTTCTCCTGGGACAGTGGTTGGAAATGGCAGAGAAGTGCCTTGTGCCTGCTGCAGTGTCTTGCAAGGAGGCAGAAATGAGTCCATTTGCATCTCTGGGCTCCCTAGACCTGACCCTGTGGCTGCCCCACATCTGATCCCAGTACCCACATCCTCTGCTCGGATGCTGGGAAGGAAACCCCAGAGAAGGTGACATTCCTTTTTGGGTGGCTTGTCAAGCCAGAGCCTGTTTGTGAAGGCACAGGGAGGACGGGCCGAGTGGGACTGAGCTCGTCTGTAGCTGCTTGTTGGCCACAAGTGCTCATTCAGCCTCTCCTGAGCCCTGGGGATCCTGTAATTTTATTTTGGCCCCAGTTCCAAACCCTTGGCCAAGCTGAAACGGTGCAGGTGGATTGCTGCTCTCCCCAGAGCAGTCAGGGTCCATCTGAAACCAAACCATCTCCCACTCAGTGCAGGGATGGGTATAAATAGACACCAGATGGTCAAACAAGTGAATTTGACCTTTTAATCTGCACTAAAGAGCTGTTTGTTCGGTCTGCTTTCCATCTTCACTTTCCAGATGAAGGGAAGGCAGACGGATGTTTTCTGAGGCCCTCTATCCCTGATACTGAAAGAGTTTCTTGGCTGGATGGAACCCTGAGGATGTGAGGGTATGGTGTCCCAGGGGAGACTGAATGCTCCTGGGTAACAGCTACTAGGATGGAAAGAAACCTGCAAAGGGATGGAAAAGGATGGGGTAGGGTTTGCTCCCTTGGAAATGACAGTGCACAGTTCCCCTTCTAGGTCTTCTCGTGTGTAATTTTAAGTAGGCTTTGTGATATTTTTCAGAAGGTTCCCAATGGACTTTCCCCATGGGATAAAAAATTCCCTCAGTCCCCTGAAGCAACAGCTTGTGAGGACCCCACCTGGGTTTCTTGCAACAGAGGTGGCTTCTCTGTCACATTTGTTGCATGCTTCAGGCTGGGATGTGAGTCATGTCGTGGAGATCTGACCAGTCTAAATAAACCAGTCTATTCAGCACTCCCATCCTCCTTGCTGGGGCCTGCCTTTGGATAATGAGCCGGGGAGGACTTGGGATACATCTTGCTGAAGCAAAACATCTGTTTACAAGGAGCTCCAAGCGACAGGATAAAATGTGGCAGAGTAATTTAAAATAGCCACAACCACCCTGGGCAAGCGGCTCTCAGTGCAGCAGATTTGCCATTGCTGTTAGAGGAAGGGAGTATCTCCTTAAACATCTCCTCCATTTGCTAAGAAAACAGCATTTTGTGCATATCACTGTCCCAGCAGCATTGCAATGGATGAGTGTGCAGAGCTGGCTCCACTCAGGAAACATGGATTTTGAGTGACAGTCAGGCATTGGAGAGGGCCTCCACCGAGCCCTTCCAGTTTAGTGGCGCTGAAGGGAGACCGTGGGGTGTAATTCGTCTGGGGAGGGGAGAAGACACTTTCTCTTTCCCAATACTATATTGTGTAATAACTGCATTTTTTTCTCCTGACTCCGGGGCTGTGAATGGGTGCCAAGCAGAAGAGGAATTTCGATGCTCTGATAAGATGTTTACATCAGCCTAAAGACGGCTGGCGCGTCTGACGTATTAAGTAATCTCTGGGCGTCCCAGTTGCCTGAGCAGGGGATGCTGCTGGGAGAAGGCTCAGCCACCAAAGTGCTTTGACCCTGGTCTGTCACGGTGGATGTTGGGTTCAAACCCTGCCGACCAGTGTGGGCAGGAGTTTCACTGCAATGCGAGGGTGGATCTGCACCACCGAGACGTGGTGCGTGAGGCGGCTCCTGCCCAGGGGCAGAGAGGGCAGGGTTAATGCTTTGGAAATATGCAGGAGCACTCGCAGGGACTTGTGAGGTTTTCCTGAAGGGCATCTGGGTGCAAAGGGTTCATGGCAGGTGGAAAAGGCGTTCCAGGGTGGGCATGTCCTGCCCGTTCTTCCCGCTGGCACAAGGAGTAAAGCGTCATGTACAGCAAAGGCAGCACTTAGTCCATCAACCCAGGTGGCTGCCTGAGTCAATCTGGATGTGGTAGGCTTCAAAAATGAGCTTGATTTCTCCTTTCCTAACAAAAAAAAATAAGAGCCTCATGGCAAAGGTTTCACCCAGACTTTGCCTGCCCCTCTCTTTCCCCACAGAACCACATCCTGACTCTGATGTCAATGGCAGCTCGCATCTACAAGCACCCCAGCCTGAAGAACTCCATCAACCTGGTGGTGGTGAAGGTGCTGGTGGTGGACGAGGTGGCCGCGGGGCCAGAGGTGTCTGACAATGGTGGGCTCACCCTGCGCAACTTCTGTAGCTGGCAGCAAAGGTTCAACCCCCCCAGCGACCGGCACCCGGAGCACTATGACACTGCAATCCTGCTGACAAGACAGGTCTGAAGGGTCCCTTGGGGATGCTCAGGGTGGGGAGAGGAAAGGGATCGAGGTGATCCTGGAGGGTGGGATCCCCCCACCACGCAAAGGATGGAGCTTACCGCAAAGCAAGGTGGCGGGGGGGGGGGGGTTGGGGGGGTGGTTGCATGTGGGATGAAGAGCACCAGTGGGTTGCCCAGCTCTGCTTGGAGATATTGGAGGACCCCTTCACCCCATCTTACCCCTCCTCGGCGCTGCTGGCAAACAGGACTTCTGTGGCCACCAAAGCTGTGACACGCTGGGCGTGGCGGATATCGGCACCATGTGTGACCGCAACAAAAGCTGCTCGGTGATCGAGGACGAGGGCCTGCAGGCAGCCTACACCCTGGCTCACGAACTGGGTAAGGCATCCCCTCCCCGGGGGGGTTCTCCTTTTCTGCTTTTTCAGCCCAGTGTGGCCAGTACTGCTGCTGGGAAGGGATGTGGCACAGCCCAGCACCAGCATCCCCCAGCTGGGGACCGCCAGCCAAGCCTTGGGCAGCGCTGGGGAGCTTGGCACTGTCAGGAGCTGCTTTGCACCAGCAAAGGCACTTGGAGGTGCCTGAGTTGCAGTAAATCTGTGCATTTGTCTGATGTGATGAGCTGAGGTGTGGGGCCAAGCACTCCTTCTCCATGATTTGCCACCCTTAGAGCTGACTGATTTTGGCTTCTTTGCCCCGTGTACAGCAGGCTGTAGCTGTGAGGTAGAGCAGCACACACCATTTTGTTTATCACTTTGGATTTATCCAAGCAAATAGCTTTTGCAGCAACTGCTTGGTAACTCCTAGGTGCTCCCAGCTGTCCACACGTCATTTGCAGCAGAGCAGGGCCAGGGCTGGGAGGCTGCAGCTCACTGATGCTCTCTGCCCCCAGGCCACGTGCTCAGCATGCCCCACGATGACTCCAAGACCTGTGAGCGGCTCTTTGGGCCCCTTGGCAAGCACCACATGATGGCTCCTCTTTTCATCCACTTGAACAAGACCCAGCCTTGGTCTCCTTGCAGTGCCATGTACCTCACCGAGTTCCTGGACGGAGGGCACGGTAAGGCTTGCTTCAGCAACCTCATCACTTAAGACCCCTTTTTCCTTTTATTGCTCAGGCTCTTTGCAGTGCTTGGAGGGATAAAGGGGAAGGCAATTCAGACCACAGACAGGTTTACCGTGTCCTGCTTGGTGCAATCCATGGTGACAAGGCTTGATGCATCTCTGCCTTTCCCAGGTGACTGCTTGCTTGATGCCCCAGCCGACCCCCTCTCCCTGCCTGCCGAGCTGCCTGGCCGAGGAGCCCTGTACAGCCTGGACCAACAATGCCAGCAGATCTTTGGCAAGGACTTCCAGCACTGCCCCAACACCACAGAGGAGGATATCTGCGCCCAGCTCTGGTGCAGGACTGGCAGCGGGGAGCACCTTTGCCACACCAAGAATGGCAGCTTGCCTTGGGCCGATGGCACCCCGTGCAAAGCCAGCGGGCTGTGCTGGGATGGACGCTGTCTGCCCCAGGATGCCCTGAAGCCTCAGGTAATGGGGGGACTGGGCACTGACCCTTTAAGAGATTCCCAAAGCTCTGACCCCAGTCCTGCTATGTCCTAGACTAGCTTTGGCTTCACCTGATTTTTTTCTCTGGATATCCTGGAATCATAGAATCACAGAATCGTTTTGGTTGGAAGATACCTTTAAGATCATCCAGTCCAACTGTGAATCCAGCACTGCCAGGTCCCCACTAAACCACGTCCCTCAGCACCACACCTACACGCCTCTCTCTTCAACGACCCTTTTCATTAAAGTTTATTACCAGCGAGCCCAGCTCATAGATAAACTCTGTCGTGCCTTTTGCCGAGGCATGGGCTGGTCTGAACCAGAGCAAACAGCCGCAGTTCTGCAATTAAATCATCCCTTTTTGCCCTGCTGGAGGAATTAGCAACGATTTCAGAGTCAGTCAGCAAAGCAGTTAAACCCAAGCTTAACTTTAAGCACATGAACGGAGTGGTGTAAGTCAGTAATAACTTCACGAGAAGTATGTGCTTAAGTGCTTTGCTGGATCGGGGCCCCGGGGAGAGGAGCTGGGGGCGGATTTCAGCGTTGCTCCAGACCTTTGCTGGGAGTGAACAGCCGGGGACAGACAGGCTCAGGGATGGATCTGGCAGCTTCTCGTGCTCTCTTGCAGCCGGTGGTGGACGGCGGCTGGGGCCCGTGGAGTCCCTGGGGCTCCTGCTCCCGGACCTGCGGCGGCGGCGTGCAGTTCTCCTACCGGCACTGCGACAGCCCCAGGCCCCAGCACGGCGGGAGGTACTGCGAGGGCCAGCGTGCCAAGTACCAGTCCTGCCACACGGACGAGTGCCCGCCCGACGGTAAGTCCAGCTCGGCACCCACACGCTGGAAGGGGGTGATTCCCAAACACGTGCTCACTTCCCACCCCTGTTTCTCCAGAACCCGTCACCTGGGATTGCTCCACTCTCCCTTGAATATCCACATTTTGGGGGAGGGGGCTTCTGCTGAGGGTTGTGATCCCCTCTGGCTGGGTGACAGGTGTGTGTGGCACTCCTCCTCTGCTTGCACGCTCGCCACACGCTCCTGCTATCCTCAGCTCACTCCCACATCTCTGCAGTAGACGGTGATTCCTTTTGGGCCAAGTTTTGCCCTTCCTTTCAGGCAAAAGCTTCCGGGAGCAGCAGTGTGAGAAGTACAACAGCTACAACTTTACGGATCTGGAAGGGAATCGCCTGGAGTGGGTCCCCAAGTATGCAGGAGTGTCACCCCGAGACCGGTGCAAACTCTTCTGCCGAGCCAGAGGGAGGAGTGAATTTAAAGTCTTTGAGGCAAAGGTAGGATGCCTGGTGATGATAATCACCTCTCGTTAGGCTGTTTCAGATCAAATCCTCTAATTGCTCCTCCATATCACCTTTCCTAGGTGATCGACGGGACGCTGTGTGGACCAGAGACCCTCTCCATCTGCGTCCATGGGCAGTGCATCAAGGCTGGCTGTGATCACGTAGTCGGGTCCTCCAAGAAGCTGGACAAGTGTGGGGTGTGTGGTGGCAACGGCTCGACTTGCAGGAAAATATCTGGCTCACTCAACCGATCCAAGTAAGAAGAGAAGGTGTCTACAGAGACAGGCTGGGGGGAGAAAAAGACAGTCTCCCTTCTTTCTCCTTTCTGTGCTAGGCTAGGAATATTAGGACTCTTCCTAGATCACATAAAACCAGTTTGCTTTCTGCACCTGAAGCACCACACCTAGTTTGCATGAGCCAGGCACAAGGAGTGTTTGGCTTCCCCTTTGTGCCACTAACGGGTTTGCAGCCATACAAACATCCTTGCAACACCTTGGTCTCCTCCCCAAACTCCAGAGCTTACGCTGAGCTTATTCTGGGGCAGCATTACGTGACCCAAGCAGAGTTCATTAGCTGGTGCTGACACTGGCAATGGGCTCAGCACATCACTGCAAATAAATCTGCTGCCCTGAGGAGTTGACAATATGCATCTCGCCCCAGCGCAGTGACACTGGACACATTTCAAGGGCTGATGAGGGATATGAATAGTTCAATAATGTTTCCCTGGGCTTTGGAGTGAATTTTAGTCCTGGGACATGGGCATCAAGGCAGCGCTTCCCTTTCCCAAGATCTCCATTGCTTTGCCCAAGAGCTGAATATAAGGCTTTTGTTGAAAAGATCATAACAAAAACCCAACGAGTCCAATTCCATGTGGTGGGGTGACTCATGCAGTCAAATTAGATTTCCTAAATGGTTTCCTTCCAGAGAGCCAGCTGAAATGGGGCTTCCTCTCTCCTATGAACTGTTTGTGGTTGACTAAAGAGAGATTAGCATGGTAGCTTCAGCCAAGAAGAGATCCCATTAAGATCAGGGTTAGGGAGGCCAGGGTGACTGAGAGCAGAGTTTGACCCAAAGGCTTTCTTCCAAAATACTCTAAACCTAATTACTGACTGCAGCATCAGCCGTGGGGCTGCGTGGAAAATGATGCTGCTGGCCCCACGTCATGAGTCATGTCAGGGTGGAATTTTAGTTTCCAGCTCCTGAGCACTCTGGGTTACAGAGGAAGAGCTTCAGAGCCATGATCCCACTCACCCAGTGCCACCGCCTGCATGAGTTTCCTCTTAATGAGTCCAGGAAAATAACCGTGTCCCTTTCCCCCTGCAGATATGGCTACAATGACATCGTCACTATCCCTGCCGGGGCAACCAACATCGACATCAAGCAGCGCAGCCACCGAGGGGTCCGTCACGACGGGAATTACCTGGCCCTAGAGCTTCCGACAGCTCCCAGAGCCCCTGACGGTCCAGCTGCTGACCATTGCCAGCGAGGTCTTCCCGCCCAAAGTCAAATACACCTTCTTCATCCCCAAGGACGTCCCTTTCAGCAAGCAGAAAGGCAAAGAGAAGAAGTCGGCCAACGTCATCCGACCGATGCTGACCTCCCAGTGGGTCCTGGGCGACTGGTCCGAGTG